TACCAAATGTGTGAGACCTTTCCACAGCTTGGCCATATAGAGAGGCCCAACATCCAAGTAGCACCTTTATGAGTTCTAGGGGCAAAAATTACACATCTAATTTCCTGACAACCTATCACGTTTTTGAAGGCCTTGGAGCAATAGGAAAGTGGAAACACCCACAAAATGACCCCATTTTGGAAAGTAAAAACCACAACAATATAAACAATGTAGACGGTAGGAAGAGGAGTAGTCACCACAACATATTTTCTAATAGTCAGAATAAGTCTTTTGAACATTTAATTTTTTTCTACAAGTTTTCGGAAAACGTGGAAAGAAAATGAAAATTTTTTTTTTTTAACACAAAGTTGTCAATCTATAAGATATTTCTAACAAACAGCATGTACATACCAAGAGTTACACCCCAAAATACTTTCTGCTAGTCCTCCTGACTATGGAGATACCACAGGTATAAGGCCTTTTATAATCCAGACGGCAAGCAAAAGCATAGTTGATAAACAGGCCAGGGTCAGTTCAGGTGGAAGGCAGAAACGTTGTGGATAAACAATGTAGACGGCAGGCAGAGGAATAGTCACCACAACGTATTTTCTAAAAGTCAGAATGAGTTTTTTGAATATTTCATTTCTTTCTACAAGTTTTCAGAAAATGTGGAAAGAAAATGAAATTGTATTTTTTTAACACAAATTTGTCAATCTATAAAATATTTCTAACAAACAGCATGGACATGCCAAGAATTACACCCCAAAATACATTCTGCTACTCCTCCTGAGTATGGGGATACCACATGTGTAAGGCCTTTTCAATGTCTGTACAGATTATGTACCCAGCATTGCAACAAGTGTAACACAAAAATCAACAAACAATGTATAGGAAACAAATGTAAATGTAAACAAGAGATTAGGAATGGTTTGAGGAGAGCATTGGTCCAGATCAGTACAGGCAGTAGGCTAACATGCAGGCAGCAGGCAGGAACAAGGTCCATAAAACGTCCTGGGTTAGTACGGGTAGCAGGCAGAGATATGGTCAGCACAGCCAAATTATTGGTTAAGGCAGGAACATGGTCCATAAAATGTCATTACATGCAGCAGGCAGAGATATGATCAGCATAACCAAATTATTTGTCCAGGCAGCAGGCAGGAACATGGCCCATAAAATGTCCTGGGTCATTACAGGCAGCAGGCAGAGATATAGTCAGCACAGCCAAAGTATTGGTCCAGGCAGCAGGCAGGAACAACAGGCTTAGGGCTTAAGTCAGGTAGAAGCAGGTTACAGGGGTAGAGGCTTTATCCCACCCAATCTCTTTGAAGCCTCCGGACAAACAGACCCTGTTCCGGGAATTACAAAACCTGTAGAAAACCAAAAACTGTTAATTTCTACTAAGAACTCTACTCTGAAGCCCCTCACTTATATGGGACCCCTGTGTTATCTTGAATCCAACTACTACAGTAGCAGGGCAAAAGATCAATCCAAGTGGCAGGCAAAAAACATGGTCAAGTAACAGGCCAAGGTCAGCCCAAGAAGAAGGCATAAACGTGGTTGATGATCCAGACGGCAGGCAGAAGCATAGTCGATAAACAGGCCACAGTCAGTTCAGGTAGAAGGCAAAAACGTGGTGGATAAACAATGTAGACAGCAGGCAGAGGAATAGTTGATAAACAGGCCAGGGTCAGTTAAGGTAGAAGGCAGTGGCATGGTTGGTTGAGGGTGCAGACAAATGATCAGCAGAGATATTGAAAATGGGGAAATGGCAAGCTGGTAGAAATATAGGTCAATATTTTAGTGAAGTGTGAAAACATCAGAAGCAGTCTCCAATGCACAGAACTGGTTGGGAGGGAAACTGGGGACAATGAAAGCTGGTATCTCTTCCAACTCCCCACTTGCTGCATACCCAACATGTTTTTTGGAGTCTTCAGCCTGCTTCTGTTGGTGAAATGTTCTCAGGGAAGTGGCGCTCATGAAGTGCAGGAGTGCACACTGGAAAATATTTAATTTTTGTGCATGAATCACGTGGCAATAATTTAATATTGTGTGGTTATGAAGATAATACACTATATTTAGTTTAATTTTTTTGAGGTGTTTTGGATCTGGATTGGTGAATTGAATTGGACACTTTATAGAACGTTTGAAGATTTATTTTATGTTGGACATTAATATCTCTGTGGATATCATTATTAGTGTGGACTATTATTTGGGATTAGGTTGTTGTTTTTGGGACAGGTTTTATTTAGAAAATTAAGAAATAGGAGTTTATTTGAGAAAAGGTTTACAGTATTCCCTGTAATACTCTCTGGTATTCTAGTACCAGAGTGTATTTATATGGTCATAAACACTTGAGTACAAGTGTCACAGCAATGTCTTAATTCAAATAAAAACTAGTGACGCACTGATATATTGGCTGAAAATAGAGCTATCGACATTTGGCCGACAGAAAAAAAAAGGTGCAGATAATAATTGACTTCAAAGCAAAATCGCATCCCATTGACGTCAATGCAAAAACACCTCCTATTTAAGTTTTTTTAAATTTTATATATATTTCTTTTTTTCTTCTGTTCAATTTTTGTGTGTTACTTTCAATAAAAGTTATTTTACATTACTGGGTTATATTTTTTAAATTCATTTTCATTTAAATTCATGATATTAATTAAAAAGCCAAATATAATACAATTTTTATATATAAAAAGTATAGTTTTTTAAAAAAAAACCTGTCCATTTCGGTTTTTGGTTTTGGTCCAGAATTTTCATTTCGGTGCACTTCTAATAAAAAACACAATTATTCCTCTCTAATCATTGTTTTATTAACTTTTAATAGGAATTTTTAATTTTTTATTGTTTTTTTTTCATTTTCATTGATGAGTATTTATGGTCATGATCTTACAAGATCATGAGCACAAATCTCACTTCTACTACAGATTCTCTAGAATTCATGAAGAGTGGAGCGGGTAGATTCTGTTGTCTCTAATGGATTCTAAAAGTGGTGAAAAATGCGCTAAATTCATATCCCTACCTTGAAATTGTACTTGAATTTGGTTCATGCTGCCCTACTTTTAGAATGCAGGTGAGACACTTTTGCCAAATCTGTCTGTCTGAGCCGGTTTCTCTCTGTACGCCAAAAGAGAGTTGGTCTTAGTTTGATTTTTACATTTGGTGCATTCAATGTGACACAATGTAAAAGAGAAGCATGTCAAAACCAGAAGTCAAATGCTTCATGAATTTGACGCAGTACTAACAAGAGGGATTAACACTAGAAAAGTGTTGCAGCATTCCCCCATTTGTGTCATTCACTTCTCTTTTCAGTTAGAGAAGAGAAGCACAAATGTTAATAAACAGGCTCTCCTCTGAGAGCTTTATATGTGGTGAAGAGCTGTGATGTATAAAGTCACTCTAAAACACACTTTAACAAACGTACACCTGTGTATCTTCACTTTGCCTCACACTTCAACAATCCTAGTGCACACAAAAACTCACTTTTTATATGTCAAAATCGCACAAAAAACAGCGGTTCTGCCTTAACCTCTGGTTTCTCAGCTCCCAGTTGTGATGTGAGTAGAGCTTAATACCATCAATAAATGAAATATCCATTTTAGATCACTGAGCTAAGGCGACATTTGAGAAAGTAATTAAATGAAGAAATTAATTAAACATGAAAGCATCATTCTTGAGAATTGTCAGCTTACAAGTATGTTTTCTAAAGCGCACTATGAGTTACTACAGCCTGTTTTTCTTTTTCAGGTAAAGATTGCTCAGAGCTGATGAGTGTTTCAAAGTATCAGGCATCAATAAAAACATAAACCAAAAAATACCAATTAATTTGCTGCATTTATTTTTCTTATAGTGGAACAGATGTTTAACATAGTACGTTTATTTCACACGGTTTCTGTGTCTTTTATCTCCTTCTATTCCAGAAGGATTTACATCTTCCTAATTTATCTGTGAGAGTATTTAACACCTTGTTTCTGTTGTGAAAACAAAGTTGTTAGACCATTTTTTAGTATGAGAGAAAAATTTAAATAATAATAATCACTCCCGACACATACGTTTTTAATGCTTAATTAACTTTATGGAAAACTGACAACGTGAAGATACAAAATAATTTGATAGTTTAAATTACAAAAAAAGAAATATCCATCTCCCATACAGAATGCTGACACTTGACGTGTATGTAAAACCACGACGATACTTTTTCATTTTTAATAGAGTAGGAAGGGGTCAAAACCTCTATCAGGATTTTTTTTTGCTGTGTACAGCTGGGGAGATTACCATCACATCCTGTCCTCAAAACACGAAAGGAAATTTAATATAAATCTCCTCAAAGTAAAGGGAATTCTATCTTATGGCCCGTACACACGATCAGTTTTTCTTTTCATTCAACCCAGCAGGCTGATCGAAAAAAACCTGACATATCGCTGTACTAACACAAGCAGTGCTAGTACAGCAATCTCCCCTGCTGAGCTATTATGTTCTGACAGGGGGACTGATCCCCCCCTTCCCCGCCAGAACACACTGGACAGCGCTCTTTAGCCATTGGCTGAGAGTGCTGATTGGAAGCTGATTGGCAGACCTTTTTTGGTCCTGCCCCTTCAACAGAAGCCGGATTGGCTGCTGTACACACTGGCTGAATGTCGGACAGTTTCTATTGAACCCAATGTTCGGCCCATGTGTATGGGCCTTTAAACAGTTGTCAGTGACACAGATGTCCCCATTGGATGATTTACCTTCTTTTCTTGGTCAGGTGACAGCTCTAACATTTTGTATTTCCCCTCATTTTTTGTCTGGGTGACAGTAGTCAAAAGGAAAAGCGTGTGACTCTTCCACACGCTACTGAAAACTAAAACAAAGTTTGCCTTTACTTGCACTTTAACCACCTCCCTCCCGCCATATAGTAATATGACGGATGCAAGGTGGTTCTCTCATTCTGGGAGGATGTCAGTTGATGTCGTCCAATTCTAACTGCGCATGCGCGGCTCCCGGAGTGCGCACACGGCGATTGGTGGTGCGCTGTGTCCCTCAGACACAGCGGATCACCGATCCACAGAAAGAGCCGAAGATGTCGGCTCGGTCATGTGATCAGCTGTGTCCAATCACAGCTGATCACATGTAAACAGGGAAATGCCGGTTATTGGCATTTCTCTCCTCTCGAGCTGTCACGCTGACGGCTCGAGAGGAGAGCCGGTAATTGGCATTCCGCGGAGGGGACATGTACACTGATCATCAGGGCACTGATGATCAATGTGCCCTGATGATCAGTGTAGCGCCAGCAGTGCCACCTGTCAGTGTCCATCAGTGCCATGTGCCAGTGCCCATCAGTGCCTACCAGTGCACATCAATGCCACATATCAGTGCCCATCTGAGCTGCCTTTCAGTGTCACCAATTAGTGCCACCTATCAATGCCAGTGGCAGCCTATCAGTGCCGCCTATCTGTGCCAGTCAGTGCCACCTAACATTGCCAGTCAGTGCCGCCTATCAGTGCCCATCAGTGATGCCTATCAATGCCCATCAGTGCCACCTACCAGTGCCTCCTCATCAGTATCCATCAGTACGACCTATCAGTGCCCATCACTGCAGCCTCATTAGCGCACATCAGTGAAGGAGAAAAATTACTTTTTTTTCCAACAGTGGTTTTTGGCTTGTTTAAGAAAAAATAAACCCAGAGTTGATTAAATACCAACAAAAGAAAGCTCTGTCTGTCACAAAAAAAGATAAAAATTTCATATGGGTACAGTGCTGCATGAATGCAAAATTGTCATTCAAAGTGCAACAGTGCTGAAATTTGGAAATTGGCCTGGGCAGGAAGGGGGTATAAGTGCCCTGTAGGCTTGTGGTTAAATGTGCAAAAAAAAAAAAAAAAAGTACTGTATTTTTTTATCAGCTTTTGAAGTTGTACTTACAGGGAAGGCTTACCTGTAGGTACTGTGAAACTTACACTGTTTAGGAGATATTCACCCTTGATGCAGCTTCTGATGTCACTGGTTCATGTGCTGTGAAGGGACAACATACTCATGCCTTCCCTTCAGGGCTGTGCGCTGTAAACCCCGACTCCTGTGCAAATGCACGGGAGTGATGTTGTCACGGCTTGGCTATTCAAGGAACCGGGGAAAGATGGAAGCCCTGTCAGCGGTAACAGCGCATCACTGGAGGGCTTAGCCTTAAGGTAAGTCTGTCATCATGTGCTAGTATGTGATGCATACTAGCACATTGTGACATTGCCTTGCAGGGGTTTTTTTTTTTTTTAAAGGCCGTGATTTGCTACCACTTTAATTGTATACTCCAGTCAAAACTAAAACTGAAGCTGGCATTACTAACAGGGAACATTGAGTATTTTCCCAGGACCTCTGTTTTTATCTGGGCATAGCTATTTTCCAGTAGGTCCCCTTACTGCCAAAAACTACCTTTTCAGTAATTATTTCTGGGAATGTCACCAGGTAATCCCATCCTTTCGACTCTATATTTCTCGCCTTTTCTCAGAGCTAGAAAGGAAAGTTGCAGATCACATCATTTTCTCAGAAGTGACATTTTCTCCCAGCAATACATGTGAGAAGGTCAATTTAGATGAATGTGAATTGAGGGGAAAAAAAAATGTATGTTAGCATTGACTTGGTTTTAATGCTAGAAAGTATGACCCAAAAGGTTATGGTATAAGGGGGCTAATGGAGCCAAAAAGCCCTACTACAGTGTTTTTTACTGAATGTTTTTTAACTTGTCTTTCTGTTAGCTTTGCTTATATGTGTTTAGTATTTTGAGAGTTTAAAGTGGTTCTAAAGGCTGATGTTTTTTTTCCCTTCGTGCATTTTACCTTCAGTGTGCTGTTTTACCTGGCAGACCCCCCAGTACTTACCCGATCCCAATCCAGTGATGTACACAAGAGCAGTGGCTCTCCTGGTTCAATCCCTCTTCATTGGCTGAGACACAGCAGCAGGAGGCAATGGCTCCCACTGCTGCCAATCACAGGCATTGAGGAGGGAGTGGGGGCGGGGCCGGGTTTCTTTCTGTGTGTCTTATAGGTGACTGCCCCCATAGCAAGCAGCTTGCTCTGGGCACACCCAGCAGGGGGGAGGAACTAGGAGTGCCAGTGGAGGACCCAAGACAAGGATGATTGGGGCTGCTCTGTGCAAAACATTGAGCAGGTAAGTAAGACATGTTTATTTGTTTGTTGTTTGTTGTTTTTTTTACATCTGAACCTTTAGTTTCATTTTGAGGTAGACTAGATGATAATATGCTGTATCATCTGTAATCATTTTTTCTGTCTGCATGGTGTTGTCCTCCTTGCGTATCCAATTATTCAGATAGAAGATATGATTATTATGTAGAACATCCAATCAAAAAAAATACAAAAAGTGTTCAGTTATTTACTCTAGTTTATTTCTCTGTATAGAATATTTTTGTTTTTTTCCCCTTGTAGTCAGACTTTGCTTTGGTCAGTGTCTCCTGAGCAATAACCGTAGCTTACTCTTTGCAATTTTATAAGTTTGCAGTTATTTCCCTAGGGTCCGTCAATGTTGTCTCCAGGCTGAAGAATTCTTTTTAAGCTTTTGCAAGCTTATTACAGTTTAAAGTGAGTTTATAAATTATTTTAAAAAGTGTGTCTACCATCCTAAGAACCACTTGTCTCTGATCTGCAGGCCTCAAAAGAGTTTATCTTGCTTCCCCCAGCATTGGCTATTCTGCAACCTTAAACTTGACCTTTTCTGCACACTTATCTGGAGTGGGAAATCTCGATTTAAGTAGAAACACATTCTGTAACCTTAAATTTGACCTTTTCTGCAAACGTATCTGGAGTAGGAAACCTCGAATTAAAGTAGAAACATTATGCCTCCCCTAGAAGAAAGATTATTTGGTGGTCCCTGACCTCTGGTTGTATTATCTGGCAGCACAACTATAACACTTTGGGGGATAGTACTTATTACCATTAGACAATCTGAAACAAGTACCTATATCTCTTATGCATGAGCAGAGTACTATTTTATTTTTTGAAACATGGTCACTAACATGCTCAGTTTTAACGTAAGGGCTAAATATACAAATGGGTGCAGCGCTAAAAGGAAAAACATCTAAAATAATGCATATAAAACATATAAATATTGAATATTGATAGTAAAGTGCACAATCAATATGTTCATTAATCACTGAGACTATACATAACACACAATAGTGAAGACAGTATGCGTATGAAATAAAAGACAAAAAACACAGCTATCTGGTCAGTAGCTATGTTTTTTGTCTTTTATTTCTGCTGTATACAATAAATTTCAATATTGAAAACAGTATTACGCTATTCGGCCCTCCTCTTCTTTGGGGCTCTGTGTGAGCTTCCCACTACCCACAGAGTCACACATAAGAAGGTTAGAGCCATGCTGATCAGCTGAATGAGCAGAGAGCGGTAGCAGACCAGACCAAACACCAGAGGGAATCCCGGTTAAACCTTAAGAGGGGTAATCTCTTACATGCGCATACTGTCTGCGCATCTGGTGAGTGCGCAGTTTTTTGTCAATTTGGATACATAATCACCTTTCACCATATCACTGGGATCTTTGAGATCGCTTATGCACCTAACCCACTGAGATATTGTGGATGATTTTCACGCGCATCTTTGATTAGTCACGGCATAGTGACACGGACATTATATACGTGCACTATAATCCTTGCACTTCATTATATGCACTATTGTGTGTTATGTATAGTCTCAGAGATTATTGAACATATTGATTGTGCACTTTACTATCAATATTCAATATTTATATATGTTTTATATGAATTATTTTAGATGTTTTTCCTTTTAGCGCTGCACCCATTTGTATATTTAGTTGTTTTTGAGGTTGTTTGGTACCTTTTGGTGTTCAGCGGCTGTAGCCACTTTTAGTGCTCACTTACTCAATACGTGCATTTTAACGTAAGGGCTGGTGCCAGTTCAGGGGCAGTAAGGGCTCATTCACACTAATTTCTATTTCTTGCCAAACACCCCTATAGCATTTGATAGGAGTTAGGCATTTGGGAAGCATTTTTAACGCTCCCCAAACGCCCTATGCACGTTTTTGAGGCTTTTGATAGGCGTTTGCCAAGCATTAAAACACCACAAATGCCTATAATGAAGTTTAATGGTATTAATGCTCCACAAACTCCCCGCAAATGCCTGCCAGGTGTTTGAGGAGCGTCACCATAGACTTGAATGGGAGGCTTCAACTCCTCCTGACTGGACATGAAGCGTCAATTTTGCTGCGACGCTAACACTTCAGTGTGAACAGCACTGTGTGCTGCCATGTGTAGAATTTTCATAGGCGTTTGAGGAGCATTAAAACGGCTTCATAAACGCCTGTCTAATGCCTGCTAACAAAGCTAGTGTGAACTTAGCCTAAGGTTGCAGTGTGACACATGTTTCAGTGCACCGTTTACCTTTCTTCCCATAATTTTAAGTGTCACAGAGTGCCTGTTCCTTAATGTCTCTAAGCAGTGCCTAGCCATAATCTGTTTTGGTCCAATATGGAAAAATGCAGGTCATTACACTGTGTGAAAGAGCCCTTAGGGCCCTTCACATGATGTTTTTTGCAAAAACGAGCATGATACTGCATTGCATGACATCGCAAATTTAATGCACTGGTTGCAGTGTAGTGCCATTCATTCTAAATAGCCCTCAAGCCATCTTCTGATAGACTTGTATTGCTTTGCTTGCAATACATGGCAATTTAATGATGTACATTGTGGTTTGCTGTGAAAACCTGGGTGTGGTGGCAATATGTGAACAGGCCTTTACTCTGTATCAAGTATGGCAACCTATGAAATCAGTTCTCCATTATCAGGGCTTTAATGAATATCCAGATCAATCAGTCATCCTGATCAATCAAAAAGTTGTTACTCCCCTCTCCCATCTATATTATGCTAATATACTCAAATCCTTTGAATAACTACAAATGGAGTTTTCTCACTCAGGAACTATATTCTTTGGATATCTCCAAATCCGCCACTTATTTATTGGCTGCCAAGGATCACAAAACAGGAGTGAAATATGAGGCCCAACAATCCATATTAATTAGCAAACACTTGGCTGATGATCACAAAACATATTCCTCATCAGTCTACACACAGCATGTCTGTTTCTGTATCCCCATAGCACTCTGCATTTCCCTCAGCACCCCCTCAGTCATTTTCATCCCACAGGAAAACCCCCTGTGAAAAGGACAGAAATCTTTTAATGTTTAGGTCCCACACACCCATCTCCTAGGCAGGTAGCAAACCAGAGATGGCAAAATACTGCAATGGCTTCAACAATAATTCACAAAAATAATAGTTATTCATAAAAAGCATGCTGTGTGAGATTGGCCAACAAACAACTATTGTTCTTACACTACATAAAACGAAATTGATCTTGCTCATAAATCCATTCTCAGTGTATGAGAATATATCATACTTATGTAAATTATATCATATTTACTAGTTCACGCAACCCATTGTTGCTGGCAGTTAAAAAAAAAAAAAAAAAAAAAAAA